TCTTCTGATTCTAGTATACAGAAATTACTTTATCAAGATATTGGTGGAATGGAGAGGAAGCAAGAGGCTGTAGTAAAATCTGGACAAGTATATCGTGGAAGGGGTTTGAATGTTGTTGGTCATCCCTCCGATTCTTCGGCAGGAAAGCTCTTGTATGGTGAAAGTAACGTTCAACCGCTAGACTTAAAAGGTAAGAAAATAAATCGTTTCTTTAAATATTTTATTACCTCCGCCAAAGGAGGTTTGTGTTCATCACTGTCTGTCTGAGTTTCTGTGTCTCTGTTTCTGTTTGCAAGATTATGGAAAGCTAATGAATGGATCATCAACAAATTTAGTGGAGTGGTACATGATAATAGTAAAAAGACACCATTCAATTTTCGGAAGAAATGATCAAAGGTCATAGAAATCTGATTTGTTGCTCTCAAGCATAAAAAATATGTAATCGCCCCTCGTATTTAGGCAGTACTTTAGAAAATAATGTGCCTGAGTACAACAGGCGATGCCATTAATTCTTTTAGGGTATGCTGCAGTTTTGCCCATTATACAGTGATGGCCAGCATATTATTAGGTTTTGGGCACAGGGCAGAGGTATGCACTCCAATGAGTGACTGCTCTATTTTGCATAACCAATAGCCAAATGATTGATTGAACCAAGATAAAACATCCAAGTTGACATTGTACACTTGGATCTTAATAAGATATCTTTTCCAACTGAGATTAAAACTGCTTAAATACTGCCAATAAGATATTAGATGCTAAATAATTTTCCTTGATGTGCCATGCCAGTTTAAAAGTACATTCAATCAACCAAGCTAAGTTTTATGGGTTGTCAGCATAAATTTATACCAATATTTCATCTATTTGATGAAAAAAACATATTTACTGGTGAGTGACACTTGACCTAGTATTTTCTTTTTCTCATTCCCACGTTGGTTTAGTTCATGAGGATGCAAAAGGAGAAATTGAAGATGGCTTAGTTCTACCACTCTCAGAGACATTCAAGCCATTTGAGGACGAGTTCAACCAAACATGTAAGCATTTGTCATACAAAAGAAGTAGAGTGGAGATGTAGTTTGGTGCTTGCCTTCCAATCCCAGGGTCCTGGGTTCAAATCCTGTTACAGCACAGGATTTTTTTTCTCCTGACTAAAAAAAACATCTCTACACCCCAAGCCTCGTAATGAGACTTCGCTGACAAAGCATAATTTTATATTACATTTATTTAAGAGGCCCTGAATATAAGCCGATCTTCTAGGATACATTGGAAGGGTTACAATGTCAACTATATTAGTACTTAGGGTATGCACTGTGGCAAAAAATCTAGAAAACCCAAATAAATATATCAGACATTGAATTGTTTGTTTAGAAACAGAATTATTTATGATTTCCAGACTTACTTATTTACTATAAAACTTATTAAATTGATTACCAGGCAATTTAATTGTAGAAGAGAATATAGTAACAATATTTTGTTTACATTTTGATTACGGGTAAGGAAAATGTTTCGTCTTTTTAATTATATTATATGTAAACAGGTCTAAATTACTTAAAGACCCCTCCAATTAGAAACTAAATCCAATTACCATAGTTACCAACCATCTCGCATCGTGCGAGACGGTCCTGCATATCAAAGTGATTTTGGATTAAAAATGCATTTTGCAGAAACATGTGCGTGATCATAAATTTGTTGCGCATTTAGCACAAGTCTATGTCTGATAACAAATTATAAAAAATTCAGGGGAAAGTGTATGCAGAATTACAATAAATTGGTTTTAATAAAAAATGTAAAAACGGTCATGCAGTAACTTAAGTCATTAGAGAGCTTTTGTTATCTTGTTTGAGAATCATTTCACGAGAAAAGTTCTTTCTCGTTAACGTATTTAGACCAGATTTCAATTGCCTGCTTTTGTTATCTTGTTTCACATTCTCTTTATGAAAAATATTTCTGTTTATGTACCGGGTATTGTCAACAAACACTTTCTGAAGTCATTTTAAAACTGCTTAAAAATGCTCAGAGCGGCAGCAGTACCCCCCGCCCAGATGCGGTCCCTGCACCCTTGCGGCCCCCCTGTCCCCTAGTCACTTACGCATTTCAAATCTCTCAGGTTGGTAACTATAAATTACGGACCAGACCACATTTCATTGGTTCCATTTTAACAAATGTCTGTTATCTTAATTATTCTAAAGAAACCTGGAACTTTCGAGTTCAAGAAGTGGTCCTTAATTGTAGGGATACTTGTATAAACAAATATGAAATATATATTTAGCTTAAGTGTGTAATAAGCTCAACACTTGCATTGATTGTTCTTTTTCTTTGCAAATGGCAGGTTCATTACCCTCCGTTGACTTGCTAGCGAATGCTGGTATCATGCCAATATCAATGGAGCTTGGTAACTATGGTATTTCTCATAGGGACACATCAAACGAAGCTGCTCATCTTTTGTCCCTTCCAGCGATATTGAGGCAGTCAATCATAGCGCCACTAAATGCACAGTAAGCTCACATTCAGTAATTTTTGTGTTTAGCTCTGATGAGGAGCTCTAGAAACACTGGGCTGATTAATTAATAGATCTTTTTTTAAACTCTACTGCCTCTATTATTCTGCCCTCATGGGGCTAATTGATTTTTAGCTCTACTGCCCCTAGGCTAGGCTATTTTATATATATATATATATATATAGGTGCTGCCGAAAATTTCGTTGAATAAATGTACATGTCTCAAATTATGTCAAAGTGTCCGGCGTTTATGTTAACAACTGCAGTGTTATTTTATACAATCGAGACATACGTGGAACTTCATCGACTAAATCGATCAGATATGAATTTTTATATATATATGTATATATATTGTGTGTTTGTTGGGGTCTGCAGGTGTATATGTATGTGTATATATGTGTATATGTATGTATATACAGTATGTATGTGTATATCTGTCTACAACACTTTTTAAGGATTTGATGATCTGCATGAGAAATGCCTGAAATCATAAACTTAAAGGCTGATTTCTCATATATCGTTCTTTAAACAGCTGTATGTTTAAACGCTTGTAACTTCATAAGGGAATGTTGGATTTGAATTATTTTTTTTTTTACCGTTTTATAGTTCTTATTTTACTTTTTAACCCTGCATTAATAACTCAAAAATCAATTTTGCAATGAGTGACTGGTTTGGTCTTTGCCGCATATGAGTCATGTTGTGGCAAAATGGCTAAGTTGTAGCAAAAATTGAAATTAAAGTTATTGGTATTTTCAAATACCTGAGTATGTGATCTTTAAAATGAGGGGTCATTCATTCAAATTGGACATTTCAAGCCTAAGTTATTGGAAAGTGGAAGTACAGTACTCTTACAGTCAAGATAAACATGATTTTGAGTAATTGCCTTTCAAAGGTATTTGTGCATACATTGTTTAATAGAATGAACTATGAAAAATAACGTTAAATTAACAATTTGTTAACCACTTCCAGAACTAATACCCATGATTAATAAGACATGATTAATAAGACATTAAACTGTTGACCTATAGTAAAAAACAAATTTGGATTTTTTAGCAATTTTTTGAGCTCCCATATTTTATAGCTCATTTATTCAATACTACAAAATACCTCATATGTTTGTTCATGTTTCATTACAGTTAATGGGATGGTTTTCGCTTTGTCTTGCTATATGGGATGAAACTATGGAAAAAGGCTAGGCAGTCTTAAGTTTTAAGTGGAAAATGATGTATAAATAAATCCTGTTCCCAAGTTCAAACTCCCCTTCATTGTCTTTATATTAGAAAATTCATTTGTGGAACATCTCACATTTTTTTTTTTTTTTTGAAGCCTGGATTAAATTAATTTCATTTCATTAGAAATATTAACCAACTATAAGACAGATAAAAGATATCATATCATAAATGGAATATACATTTTTATTATCAGCTGGCTCAAGGGCTTAGGCCAGGTGAACTGTTTACACCTATGGTACTGAACCAGATCTTATCCAAAGCTATCCAGCAATCTCTCAACAGACGGTCAACCCATGCTGATAAGCTCAGCTTCTCACTAAAATGGCTGCCAAACATGTTCAAACCCAATGGTAGGTGTAAAAGTAATAAATATTTATATTATGTTATTAGGTTCTACCTGCTAATGGTAACCATGTAAACAAGTACTGTACTACTGTACCTGTTCATGGTCGGACGGTCGGCGACTAAACCGGCTCATCCGCCTTTAACAACTCTGGTGAGGAGGGTTTGTGGACCTCTGGCAGGATTAAAAATAAGACCTGTTAAAGCACGAATTAGTTCATGGAGGAACCAACAGGCATCAACTCTTTCCCCAGGATTGATGACTCGGTGGTATGATAGGGCAGGCTCACTGTAAAAAAAACAAACGCTCCAGTAGCGAAATCATGCCACCCAAGACCGGAAGAAGTGGAATATGGGAGTGTCATCATGGTGTGAAAGTCGGTAACCCTTCATAAGAAGGGAAGTGCTGACTGATGATGGTGATGATGATGTCTCATTTTTATTCTGTTACTATATTTACTTGCTTAAAATACCCCTTTAGGAAAATTCTCATATGATTATTTATTTTTAATTTTTCATCAAAGCAATTGATAGTTTGGATGGCTTGGAACTTAAATTCAAGGTAAATTTCTTTAACTAATTAATTTTTTGCTGTACTATCCTTACTGTATTTCCTTTTTTTAAAATTAAATAAACACCTTCCATATTTAATGGAATAAGTCCAATGTAGATTTTAGCATTGATTGAATACACCATGTTGGGGTTCATTTAATTGATGTAATAGGCATAGGAATATTTCAATGATGTCGCATACATACAGTACAGTTATGTACTTGACAAAATATAATCATTCATCATCATCATCATCATCATAATCATCATCATCTTCATCATCACTACCACCATCATCATTATCTTTTGTTGTAATGATCATCATCATTTATCATTATTACCATCATCTGTAGATTAGAAGGCAAAGAAAATGATGTAATTACCAGTCAAATATTTCTGGATTTTATTTAAACTGTCAACAATAGAATAATAAATAATTAAGCAGTTTTTTTAAATTTTTTTATTGCAGATTGACTGGCCATGTAATATTGTAATCACCACTGGGTGCTTGGAAAAGTACAACCGTGTGTTTTCATTTATGTTACAATTGAAGCGTGCATCATGGGTGTTGAGGGATATATACTTCCAGCTAAAAAGAAGTGGTTAGTGGAATATGTTTACGTATGTTAGTATTGGGGCTGTATGAGAAGCCAGGCATATATTGCAAGGTGCACATTTTGGATATTTTTCCCCTTAAACTTGACCAAAAAAAAGGATATGAACCAGGCACTTATAAACTGGAGGCATGGTGTTCATTGATTGACCATTTTTTATAATTGGGTATTTTTCACTTTTTTTTTTAAATAATTGTTGATAATTGTTGGTTAGACATCGGTTTCATTTGGTTTAATGCAGGTGTCGCCAACACCAGGCCTTGATGTACCTGGAAGGATTGAATACCAAGTTCTCATTCTAGTCGCTTATGGAATTATGCTCCCCAGGCGGCTGAGGATGTGTTCCATAGTGTTTGATCCAGTGGTGGGGGGGGGGGGGGGGTGGTAATAATGTAAAGCACATAAAGGCAATTTATTGCAATATAATGCTTTATGATGACACATTATTATTATTATTATTATTATTATTGTTATTATTATTGTTATTATTATTGTTATTATTATTGTTATTATTGTTATTATTACTATTATTATTATTATTATTATTCCCTAAGTCGACTTTGCCTAAGGCGAATAATTTCTAAATATATATAATTTTATGTGCCAAATTGTTGTGTTTTCCATTAATTAACAATCTGTAAGTCAAATTTTATCTAAGTCGAACAATATTTCAATGGCATTTTGAATTTGACTGTTGTATGGCCATATATAGTCATAATGTGCCTATATATGGTCATGATGTGATGTCATCATGACCATATTTAGGTATGTCAGATGTATTTGTATGAAATGTGATAGCTTGACAGGGCTTTAGCTATATTTCATTTAATAACATATTTGTTTAAAATTTTTCCATATTTATTTTCAGCATTAATTCATCATGCTGGCAACTCGGCACAGTTCCGACAGCTGCAGCTGTTCAGGTATTGAAATCCCTGCCTTTTTATAAATCTCTTAAATCATTCTTATGCATGACTATATAAGTGTAATACATTTAAATTAGAATAAGCATTTCACTTTATGTAGTGGATCTAATTTTTTAATAGAGGAAAAGAGTCGTGTGGAAGAAAATATTAGTTATTGAGTAATTGTAAGTCTGTGAAGAATCACTGACATGGTGAATTATTCTTGTAAATATCGATTAAATACCAGATGCATTGTTTGCCCAGCTTAAAGTACAGTTAAACTTGCCTTAAGTTGAATAATTTTTAAGTCCATTTAATTTTACATACCAAATTGTTGTGTTTACCAATTATTTACAATTTGTATGTCAAATTTTATCTAAGTTGAACAATATTTCAATCTTGTAGATATCTATTATATTCATGCATGACTATATAAGTGTAATACATTTAAATTAGAATAAGTATTTCACTTTATTTAGTGAGATCTAATTTTTTAATAGAGGAAAAGAGTAGTGTGGAAGAAAATATTAGTTATTGAGTAATTGTAAGTCTGTGAAGAATCACTGACATGGTGAATTATTCTTGTAAATATCGATTAAATACCAGATGCATTGTTTGCCCAGCTTAAAGTACAGTTAAACTTGCCTTAAGTTGAATAATTTTTAAGTCCATTTAATTTTACATGCCAAATTGTTTTGTTTACCAATTATTTACATTCTGTAAGTCGAATTTTATCTAAGTTGAACAATATTTCAATGGTCTATTGGATTTGACTTGGCCAAGTTCAGCTGTACTTACCAAGGGAGTCAAGAAGGTTGTAGTGTATGGCTAATGGTCCTTTTGGCTAAGCCCTGCTCCAAGAGGCACTTTATCTGCATTGCTTCTCTCCACCCAGGAGTATAAATGGGTACCTGGTAGGGTTAAATGCCAAAATGCACTGATGAAGCTGCTGCAACTTTATGGAATACTCCCCCAAGGAAGCTTGAGTTTGTGTTCCATAGGCGTTTAATCCAATAACCAGGGGTTGTAATGTGAAGTGCTTAGAGGCCTTGTTGGCATTAAGCGCTATATAAATCTAACATATTATTATTATTATTATTATTAGAATGGCAGTTTTAAAACTTGACACGAGCGTTTACGTGTGCTTGTTAGACGCGCATATTCCAGGCTCTTTTCTGATTGGCCAGTTGTTAAGCTTGATTGACACTCTAAAAAGGTTCATTGCATGTTAATCCAATGACCAGGAAACTAGAAAAAAATATTAATAATTGTATCAAAGAGTATAAAACTGCAAGAGGTCTGACTGCCCTTATTTTGTATACAGGCAATGGAACGTTAAAAAGTACTCCCACGAAGGGGCGTGTCCTTCATAAGAACGTAAAAGGCGTTCGTATCAAAGGTGTTCGTATCGAACGCGTGCTGTGTTTCGAATTCCAACGTACATTCTATAGACGCGCAGCATGCGTTCGATATGAACGCACTTTACGTTCTTTTAAAGACCACGCCCCTTTTGGGTAGTACTTTTTGAAATAGGATTGCGTTCCAAAGATTTCCCGGGTAGTCGGACCTCTTGCAGTTTTATACTCTTTGATTGTATTAATAATAAATATTGATATATAATAGACGACTATCCTTTGTTAAATTTACTATTTGTTTTGTGCTTCGTTAGACATGAGATGCAACACTTTGTAAATGTAATGCAAGGTTACATTGCAAACCAAGTGGTCAACGTCAGCTGGGAAGAGTTCAAAGGTCAATTGAAAACAGATGTAAGTTACAGCCTGAATGGACAAAGAGACCTTATTTTGTGGGAGTGCTCTTTTATATATATATATAAAAAAAAGATAGAAGCCCCCCCCCCCCTTAAAATCCTGTCTACGTTCTTGAATCGTCCGCATTTTTAATTCTTAATAATAATAAGATTGATAAAGCACACATATCCACTGCAGCAGTGCTCAAGGCGCTACTGAAGGAAGGAACCAAAAATGATCGTGTACCTTAAATTTTTGAATTGTTTTCTTTCCGCTATTAAGGTTCAGAGTTTAGATGATCTTCATAATAGGCATGTGGAGTACCTCAACAAAGCCCTTTTCAGGTGGATACAGTTTATTATTTTCATTTCTATTTTAGCATTTACTTTAGGTTCCCATGTATGTAGCATAGGAAGCATTGTAATGGATGTTTCATGTACGTAATATGAGTGTGTATGTGTGTGTGTTACACTGCATTTGTAAACAAAAAGGTTATAAAAAATCTATGATTGTAATAATATTTATATTATTTATTTATTGTTTATTGTGTATTTCGACAGTGTGTTAAAGTATGTCAAGAATATGTAAAATAATATTATACACATTTTGTATGGGTCAAGCTGCATTTGCTCCCAATTCCCAACAGCTGTTGCAGATGGTATTGAACCTATAGCGATTGGTGGAGCTACAATAATGTAGTTTACACAAAATACTATGCATAATAATAACAGGAATATACTCGCATATAACAGTCAACATAGTGTCTACATTACATAACACACGCTAAAACTCATGAAGCTTGCCGTTCCAAAACTAGTGTACCGTCGTTAATTGAGTAATTAGCGCAAGAATGTACAGTAGCAGTATTGTATAATTTCATACAAAGAAGTCATAATACTTTTACTCATAATTTTGGCAATAGTAAAAGTCAATTCCACTAAAATGACCCATCATTTTAAAGCTTACAATAATGGAAAATATGAATATATTTTGAAAAGTCAATTTTCATTTTGTGGTCATTGATGCAGGTTTTTGGATGGGGAGCCTCATATTCTAATGAGGTTTATTATTTTGTCTATTATTTTCCAGATGTTTACTTAACAAGAAGGCAGCACCAGTGATGAAGATCATCACCAAGATCTTCTGTTTGATTCTGAAGGTGTGGACTCAGCTGGTGTCTTCGCGCTGGTACTATGATCCTGATATCCATCAAGTAGTCCACCCAGCATTTCACACTGTTAGGTCTTCTTACTCGGCCTTCAAGGAGTACTCTGGCTTTTTGTACAAAGGTTGGTTTTTCTATTCAATTTCAGGGAGAGAGATCTTGCAGCTCTTATATACACTGTGGCTACTTTCTTAGTGTGGGAGCATATACTAACCTGTATAGGTGCAGGGGTGGTTGCAGGGGAAATGACCCCCAAAGGAAAGAGAGAAGGGAAAAAGAGAAGGGGAAACGAGAAGGGGAAACGACCCCCAAAGAAGGATAGGGGGAAAAAGAGAGGAGAAAAGAGGTGAAAGAGGAGAACACAGTACTTCAAAACAAGCTAATATTCAATTTAAATTCCATGTACCCAGTGTCTGGTAAAAGCATTTCTAAACAAAAATCTCAAACATCAGCAAGATGTGTATAAGAGA